TTCTCCCCCTTTATTGGGGCAGGGGGTGAGGAGGGGGCTGTAAACCCCCTTTGAGTGGCCCCACAAGGGCCCTTTGCACTTCTGGGACAGCCTCCACCCCTCACCCCAAACTGCTTTTGGCAACTGCTGCTGAATTGCCTTCCCACCATTCCCCTGCAGCCAGGAGGGAATTTGGGGTAGGAAACAGCTCCCTGAAAAACCCCCCTGCTGTTTTAGTGGGGCTGGGGAAGAGGAGGAGGAGGAGGAGGAAGAGACTTTGTGGGATAAAAGGAAAGGAAAGAACCACTCCCCAATTCCCTTTGGTGGCACTTTTCCCCCCACACATCCCAGGTATTCATGGTGGAGGGCAGTTCTGGACAAAAAATTGGTACAAATTGAGGAGAATTTATAGGAAACTCACACTTCAGGGCTGGAGTTCTGTGTGTTTAATTCTGGATTTGCTATTCCATGATTCTCTGATGGTACAGAATCACCCTGCTCCTGTTTTGGGTTTGGATTTCAGCAAAAGGCCTTCAGTAATTGGGTTTTTTTACCTCCTTGGGTGGTTTAACTGAAAATTGCTGTGTGTTCCTGGTGAATTAGGACTGCTTTGCTCTGGCAAATTATTCCTCCTGCCTTTCTTATTTAGAGGGGGGAGCTGGTAAAACAGGCACTCACCACCTTCACTAAAAAATCTGAGTTTTCATTCTCTGGAGCTGAAAAGAATTTAAAACTAAACAGTGAAGGTTAAGAAATTTAGAATTACTGTTGCTCCACTGTTTTAATGAAAAGCTGAAATACCTGGGCTAGAGTTCTCCCATGCAAATACTGCCAAATTTGGGGTTAGAAGTGCTTAAAAATACCCTTTTCTGCACCCTTGGTTTTAGAAATGGGGAGAACTGGTTAGGAACAAAATTGAAGTGCCTTGCTGAATTTTACTTTATTGTCTTAAAGAAAAAAAAAAAAAAAGAAAAAAAATGGCTTTTAATCCTATAAATATTTAATCCTGTAAATATTTCTAGTTCTTTGTAGAACATGAGAGAAGTACCTAATTTTTTAAAGGAGCTGTCACGAAACCCCTTAAGATTCAGGTGTTATTTATTGATTTTTGTACTTGCACCTTAAAGTGTTTCAGCAAAGAGCTCTCCTTAGAGCTGGAAAATCCTGCCCAGGCCCCGCTCCCTGCTCAGAGCAGCGGAAAATTCCCAGTTCCTGCTCCATCCTATTATAGAATCATGGAGTGGTTTGGGTGGGAAGGACTTTAAAGATCCCCCAGTGCCACCCCTGCCATGGGCAGGGACATTTCCACTGTCCCAGGCTGCTCCAGCCTGGCCTTGGACACTTCCAGGGATCCAGGGGCAGCCCCATTTCTTTGGATATTCTGTGCCAGGGCCTCCTCACAAGGAATTCCTGGGAATTTTGCAGGAAAACTTCTTCCATCATCACTTTGATACCTCCCAGTGCCTCTTCGGTGCCTGCACCTCTCAGCCTGCGCCTCTTCCTCCAGAAGTGCCTCGAAGAATCAACCAAAAATCCAAAGGAATTTTTGGTAAAAATCTCTTTCACAGCATTTCTTGATTTCCAGCCCCTCTGTGTGTGCCTCGGGGAGTTTTTCCCCCCACATTTACTGTCGGTTAACATCTGGAAAAAATGTCAAATAAAACCCCCCACAAGCTGCACAAAAGGAAGAGTCGTTACTTGAGCTGGGTGTAAAACCCCGAGCAGACAGGAAAAGGATTTCCCTGGGCAGCTGTGAGTGTTTGTGAGTGTTTTGCTTAAAAAAAAGCCAAACAAACCCCAAAAAACTGCTCTGTGATTAAAGCAGGTCCCAAATCCCCATTCAGGGGCAGCGTGGGAGGAATGGGGTGAAATAATTCTGGTTTTTAAAACAACTACAAGGGGAAAGCCAAGAAATGTCTTAAGTTTTGTTGATGTCAGTGGGTAAAAACTTGAAATTTTAGAATAGGAATCGGAAAATTGTCTTTATTCTGTTTTATTTGTGGCCTGATTAGGAGTGAGCACTTGGGGGAAATGAAGGAATTTATTTTTCCCTGCTTTCACTCTGTGCCCTCTGCGTGACTCTGGGCCAACTGTTCCCGTTTCCTTTTCATTTCTCCTTCCTGGAACTTCAATTTGTGGCCCTGGGACTCAAAAACCACACGAATTTCAAGGTGTATTTTGTGAATTGGTGGCTGCACTCTGTGGGACCACACAGCTGGAGAGTTTTACTGCAGCCTCGGTAAGTCAACAATATCGAAATTTGGCTTTTTTATTTTCAATTCCTTGCTGTTATGCAGAAGGATTTTAAAGGCAGGCTCCTGACCATTGTAAAATTCAGTATTATGGTTGTGTAAAGAGGAAAAACGGGATTTTAATCCACATCAATCAGTCACTGGTGCAGCTTTGCAGAGGTTTGAAATAAAAATTTGACGTTGCTCGGCTGGTAGTTGTTTTCCTGTCTCAACAGTCCCAAGAAATGAGTTTACAAATTGAAATTAGGATTAAAAACAACAAAAATGTCCAAAACAAGCGGTGTGAGCCCTGGATTGCCAGCAAAAAGAAATTCCCCTGAAATATCCTCAATTATTGTGTTTTTATTTGGCTCCAAAAAACTTGTGCATCTCAGCCCCAGTGGGATTTAATCCAATATTCCCAACAAAGAATTCCTTGATGTGGTTTCTGCACCTTCTTCCTCAGGGCTCCTTAATTCAGTGTATTTTGGGCCTCTTTATTCCAAGATTCCAGGTTTTCATGAGGATTGATTGAGGGACAGGGATGGAGCAGGAGAATTCCAAAGGAATTCCAAGCAGGGCATGAAATGAACCCAAATTATCCTAAAATTGTAATTATTCCTATAAATCTGACCGTATTTGTATCATCAAACCATCTTCTCACAGTTCCCAAATGTATAAAAATAGGATTTAAGTGCTGTTTTTTGCTAAAATGGAGGGATGAACCTCCAAAGATCAAAATGTAAAGCAAAAGTGAGAAGCTGCCATTTTAATGACTGTGGAATACTTTTAATTTTTCCACTGTTAAAGAAGCTCCTTTTCTAACCAAATTTTGGGGGTTTAGAGGGAATTTAAAGTGTAAAATATCTTCAGTGAGCTTTGCATGAATTGTCCTGATTAGCATCAGGAAAGTGGTGCTGGTGAATCCAGAATAATCTGCCTGCGAAATGATAAAATTAATGATAAAAATTAATTTAATGACACCAGGGCTGATTAAAAAAACCCACAGTGATGAGTGGTGAGGATAGGAAATTGAGGGGATTTATTAGAAATTTAATTTAATGACAAAATCCAGCCTGATTTGGGGGTACAGGAGGGAATAATGGGGAAAATGCTTTGGAATTCTGTGTTTGATCCCGACCCGGTGTGGATTCCTGGTGGGAATGACAATGACAATTCCATGACAAAGGGACAGCAGGGCTGGAATGGCCCCAGGCTGGCACTGCCCTGCCCTAACCTCGGCTGCCTAAGTCGCGATAGGCGCGACAGGGAGGGGACAAAACACGGGGAAAACAAACAAAAGAAGAAGGAAAAAAAAAAACGACAAAAGGGAAAAGAAACCCACAAAAAACCCCAAAAAACCCGTCCCAAAAACAAAAAAAAAGCCAAAAAAATCCAAATAAACACCCAAAAAAACCCCCCGAGCCAAACAAAACAAACAAAAAAATTAAATGCAAAAAAAAATATATAAATAAATCCCAAATACACACCCAAAAAAAACCCAATAAAATCCTCCAAATAAACTAAACTATTAAAAACCCTCAAAACCCAAAGAAAAACCAAATTAACAGGCTGAAATATCCTCCGTTGTTGCGTTTTTATTGGGCTACAGGCGGGACATAAACATGCAAAACTTGTGTATTTCTGAGTCAGCCCCAGTGGGGTTTAATCCAATATTCCCAAGAAAGAATTCCTTGATGTGGTTTCTGCACCTTCCTCCTCGGGGCTCCTTAATTCAGTGTTTTTTGGGGTTGGCAGATGCTCCAAGGGCTTCTTTTTACCAAGATCAGCCGGATTTTCCTGAGGATTGATTGGCACCAGGGACAGGGATGGAGCAGAATTCCAAAGGAATTCCAATGAAGCTCAAGCAGGGCATGATATGAACCCAAATTATCCTAAAATTATAATTATTCCTATAAATCTGACCATATTTGTATCGTCAAATCAGTCTCCATAGTGAAGCCAATGCATAAAAATAGGATTTAAGTGCTGTTTTTTGCTAAAATGGAGGGATGAATCTCCAAAGACCCAAGTGCAAAGCAAAAGTGAGTTGCTGTGGCAGAAGCTGCCATTTTAATGACTGTGGAATACTTTTAATTTTTCTATGGTTAAAGCATCCCCTTTTCTAACCCAAATGAATCATTTTGACATCTCTGGGCAATTTAAAGCGGAAAAAAAATCTAAAATCTTCATTGGACTTTGTATAAATCGTGTATGTCCTTAACTGCTGACTAGCACAGGGAGAAGTGGGGGTGGTGACATCAGTGCTGGTGTCAAAATCTGCCGCTGACACCAATTTTTTACATTTCTTCATAATAAAAATTAATGACACTGAACCCGCGCCCGGGGCCGCGTTTTCCCTCCAAAACCGCGCCGGGCCCGCGCGGCGAATCTGCGGCTCGGGCCTTGAGGCCTCGCAGCGCCCCGAAAGGCTCCCGGAGAAACGGGAAAAAATTGCAGCGTGGCGCCGGTGAGGGAGGAACGCGGCGGGAGCGGCGGGAGGGCCGGGACGGGGCGCGGAGGAGCCGCGGCAGCACCGGGAGCCCGTGGCGAATCTGCGGCCCGAGCTCCGCCGCGTGCGGGCCGCGCTGCCCGCCCTCCCCGCGGGGACAGTGGGCGGGCCCTGCGCGCCGTGATGGTTCGAACGAGCCAATGGGACGCGGACTCTGGCGGCCTCTGACCAATCGGCGGGCGATGGGGGCGTGGCCAGCGGGGTCGGCGGCACCGCCCCCCCCGCTCGCATCCTCTCGGCGGGGCGAGCGCGACCATTTTGCGGGGGGGAGCGGCGGCAGCGGGACCGGCACCGACACCGGCACCGGGATCAGGGAGCGACACCGGGATCGGCGCCGGGATCGGGATCGGGGAGCGGCACCGGGGGCGGCGGCGGCGCCTGACGGGGGAGCGGCGGCTCCGCAGGCGCGGCCTGAGGCGCTGGGCCCAGCGCTCCCGCTCGCTCCGGGCGGCCTCAGCGGCCCCGGCGGCCTCAGCGTCCCCGTTCGCTCCGCGCCCAGCCCCGGGCGGCCCGAACCGCCGGGAAGATGTCGCGGCCTGTCAGGTGAGTCCCGGCGGCGCCGCTCCCGCCGCTGCTGCCGGGCCGGCCCCGCGCAGGGCAGGCCGCGCTCAGGCCGAGCCGATTTCTCCTCTATTTCCCCTTGTTTCCCCCCTGCTAACTTGGCACGGCCACCGCAATAAACACCGCATTTCACACTGCGCCGCTCGCCCGGGCCCGGGGGCCGCGGCGGGGCGGCCCTGCGGGCGCTGTCCCACATTTTGTAACGGGAAAAAGCGAAAAATTTTTCGCCGCCGCCGTGACCCACTTGGCGCAGGGCGGGCGCTGCTCTCGCCGCGATCCGCGGCGCCCCCCGGGCCCGCTCCGGGCGGCGGGGCCCAGCCCAGCACGCTGCCGGGGGAGGGGACGCGGTGCCATCCGGCGAGGGTCCGGGGCACGGGGGCTGTGCATGGGGAACCACGCGTAGGGGAGGAGCCGGCAGGAGCCGCCCCCTCGGTGCGAGCGCCGCTGCCACACGCCCTGCTCCGCCCGCCCGGCCGGCCGCGGGCTGCGCGCTCCGGGCTCGCCTTCCTGCTGCTCTTTTCCACCCCCTCCTTTCCCTTCCCGGCCGTTTGGCAGGAGGGTTGTGCGGGCCCGGCGGGCCCGGAGGTGGGTCTGGGCTCGGTGGATTGGGTTGAGCGGTGTTGGAGCGCTGGGCTCGGACGGAGCGTGGTGGCTTTGGGGATCGGCGGCGCAGGGAAGTGATGCCCGAGGGAAGGGCTGGAGCTGTGTCAGGGGTGGATGTTTGGGAAAGGTTCTTACCCCAGAGGGTGCCGGGGCATTGCCGGGGAATGGGCACGGCTCCGAGGCTGCCAGAGCTCCAGGAGTGTTTGGACAGCGCTCCAGGGATGCCCAGGGTGGGATTTTGAGGTGTCTGTGCAAGGCCAGGAGCTGGACTGGATGATCCTTGTGAGTCCTTCCCAGCTCAGGATATTCTGTGAGTCCCTTGTGTCTCAAAGCTTTACCAAGGAGGTGACAAAAGAGTGAACTCGTGATTTGTCTTTATAGCAAAGGTGTGAGGTTTCCCACGGTGTTCTTCTGATGCTCTGGAATTTCTTCATTCTCAAGTAACTGGCTGTAGTTTTATTCCCAGTGAGCCTGTATTAAATACGAATTAATTGTGACTTTGATGCATCTATACGTTTAGAGATGGCAGTATTGGTATTTAAGTAATACCTCTCATCTGCAGAATTTAAAAAATATAAATGCAACCCAGGACTGCTTTGCTAAGTAGGGGAGTGGCTCAGTGATGGGTGAGCTGCCCAAATTATTGGTGATGTGGCTCTGCTGCTTGAGAGGACACTTCAGTGTTGGTCATTCTAGTGCCAGCTCTGGAGATTTGCTCCAGGTGAGGAAAGGGTGCTGTCTTTAAAAGCAGAGCCTCTGGGCTTGCTGGAACTAAGTATTTTTACAAAAATAATTCAAATAAAACACCTCTGTCTAGTCCTGCAGTGTTGTGAGAGGTCTGCCTGGTCTCAGGCTCAGCTGGCAGGCTCTGCTCTGCAGGAAAACTGAAGCACCAAAGTCCAGCAGGTTGTTAGGAGCACAAAACCTCCTGCCATGTGGCAGGATAGATGCAGCAGTCTCTTATCTCTATTATTTAATAGCCCTTCCAGGGGAAAAAAGGTAAATATTCAATGGTTGCTATATTGTATTGCTCTGCTAACTAGAGAACTCTGCCAATAGATTTCAATCCATTAATAAATTAATGCTGGGATGAAGTTTTTGCTGCCTGTCTTAGTTGGTTTTTGGTAAAATGGAAGCCTGGTGAAAGATTCTTCATCAGAGTGAGGTTTAGTGGTGGGAGAGTTTCCCTCTAGTCAGTGTTCTTGGCATTAACTGGTGATGTCTGCTGGTTTCTGGTGAATATGTGTGCACCTAAAGCAGTGAACTTCATAAAATCCATCCTATATCCCAAGTTTTTATGCCACTTGTTGAGGAAATTGACCTAAGGCTGAGTCTGGCTGTTGAAATCAGTTATTTAAAATTCAGTAGTAATAAAACCCTGGTATTTACAGGCTTCATGTGCTGGCACTGAGAGCCAGGTGCTTCCTGCACTATTCCATTGCTCCTGGGTGGATAATGATGGGGTTTTCAGTGTTGTTAGAAAAAGGCAAGCAGTAAAAACTAAATGAACTTGAAATTACTGAACTTCTGCATCTCTTGTGTAACTCTCCTGAAGTTCTGCAGAAAAAGCTGGGGCTGCTTATGGGATAAAATAAAATACTTTGAGCCACTATTTTTTTTTTAATATACATATATATATATTTATATATATCTATCTCTACACAATATACATATTATATTTTTATTGATATGTATATATATAGCATCAATTACTGTGTTTGAAGTCAGAATTTTTGACTTCTGGTGCAGCCTTTCATCTGCTTTTTCTCACTGGTCACTTGCTGGTCCTTTCCTGCAGGCTTTGCAGATGGAGATTTTGTGGACAGGTTTTTTTTTGGTCATTCATTTTAAGCTTAAAGCCAGTTATTAATTTATCTCAGGGCTTCAAGGCTTCCCATCCTTTTTCTGGATTTGAATCCCAGCCTGGTGTTGGCGCTACAGTGGAAGGGTGAAATTTTACTTGCAGGAAAAAAGGTATCTCTTAAATATAACTTGTTGCCAGTGTTGTAATGGGCAATGTAAAATAGAAATATTGTGATTGTGGAAAAGCTTCCATGGGATTGCAGGAGAGCAACAGTTCCTTGGGGATTGGCACTTAATAAAGTTGAGTGGTTGGTGCTGTGTGGTTCAGAGATAGATGAATTAAAAGAGGTGGAGGTACAAGAAAATTCAAAATATCAAGGTGAGGGAGCGAGCTGGGTGTTTGGGTTTGGTTCTCCTCCTGCCCTGCATCATTTCTGTGGTAACATCTCAATTAGAGTCAAATAGAGAAGGAGCACAAAACTGATTTAATTATTGCTGCAGAAATCCTTTAATTGTTTGATGGAGTTCCAAGTGGTGTGGATCCCTGAAAATCCTGCAGGTGTCATGAGCAGAGCCTGACTCTGAGTGATCCTCTCAGTGGTGAGTCCTGAGCCCAGTTTTTCCTCAGATTAACCCCAAACCCTCAGGTTTAGGTCCCTGAGTGTCACCAGGTGCCCTGTGCCACCTTCTGGTGGTGCTTTTAAATCAGTGCTCATGAAAAGCCCAAATCCAGCACTGCACATTTGCTCTGCACAGCTCTGAAAATCCCTGCAGGAAACACTTCTGGCTGGAATTTGGATTTTCTGTGTATAAAAAAGGCAACAAAAAGTGCTTTTAATGGCAATATTTGTTGATAATATTGGTCTCAAAGGGGACACCTTTACCTGAAAGTGAAACCTGAGTGCTGAGCCAGCCCTGAGGGTCAGGGAGGGGCTGGAGCTTTGCTCAAAAATGCTGAGGGTTGTGGTGAAAAAACCATCCAGAAATCTCAATAACCATTTAACCTCCTTGCCTTTGTTCTATTGGATTGAGGATAGGTGATTGTCATTTGACCTAAACATTCCTTTTCAGTGCCTGGATTTTTTGAAGACTCCTTTTAGCATTGCTTTTCAGGATTATGTGTCATGGTTTTTTGTTGTTGTTTTTTTTTTTTAAATGTGGATTTTATCAGTGTTTTTTAATGCTTGTACAAATATCTGGGAACCTGTACATTCCCTTTAAAAAAAAAAAACTTCTCTCCCTGACTGTAGGGCTGTGCTGATATTGGTTTAAAGGCTGAGGGTTTAGGGACTAAATTGAAGATGAGGTATGAAATCCTTTCTCAGTTTTATAGGCATTTAGTGATCCTTTGACATGTTGATGTTGCTTTTCATAACTCCAAAATTGCACTTTGGCAGGCATCAAGTTGCAATTTCTGAGCTGTAGTTAAATTACTGGAGAATTCCTTTGCTGAGTGCTTCCATCCTAAAATGTCAGTGAGTTAGTGTTTATTCCAAAAATATTGGACTGACAGCTGTTATTAAAAACTTGTGCTGTTCAACCCCTCTCTCTGAACTTTTACCATGCACACTTGGTGTTAATCTGAATTAGCAAGGAAGTCACATTCAAATTTCAGTTTATAATTTAAACCAGGCTGAACAATTCCCATCCCAGCCTATCCCATGCCTGTCTTTTTACGCTCAGCCTAAGTGGATTTACCAGAGAGTTTATTTTTATGTCTTGCCTTAACATCTCCCAGCAAAGAGAAGCTCTTCACTGCCACCACCAGCTCCTTTTTCCTGGCTCTTAACTCCAGTGATCTCGCAGAGAGTGTTTTTATCACCTTGGTGTAGTAAACACCACGGGCTCTCTTTGCACACCCACAGTTCTCATTGCACAGCAGCGCTGCTGACTAAACTTCTAAATAAAGCTCTAAAAATAAAACTTGTCTGGGCTAAAAGAGGTGAACCATGAGTTTGGAGTGAAGGGAAGGGCAGGTGCCAGCAGCAGGTTGGTTCTTCCTGACCCTCTGAGCTTCTCTGGTGCTGTTGAAGATTTTTATCAGCTTTTTTATCTTGGGTGATCTCAGGGCAGAGATTCCTTCTTTATTCCACCCTTCCTGCCCTGCCATATAAGAAAATGCAAGGAAACAGCTTTGCTTTTGGTTTCTTCTGAAACAATGATTTTTAAGTTATTTTTTTTAAATACAAATAGCACTTTTTGTTCACCATGTGAGGAAAACTGAGCAGGGTTTAGTCCCTGGCTGAAAAGCCAGAGATTGGTGCTTGGGGAAAAGATGTTTGCTATAAGAATGATATTTTTGTTAAAGGATTTTTTTTGTTAATTTTTTTGGGTTTTTTTGTTAATTTTTTGGGTTTTTTTTAATTTTTGTTATTTATTTTTTGGTTTTTTTTTGTTATTTTTGGTTTTTGTTATTTTTGGTTTTTGTTATTTTTGGTTTTTGTTATTTTTGGTTTTTGTTATTTTTGTTTTTGTTATTTTTGGTTTTTTTTGTTAATTTTTGTTGTTTTTGTTGTTTTTGGTATTTTTTGGGTTTTTGGGTTTTTTGGGTTTTTTGATTTTTTTTTTTTTGTTATTTTTTGTTATTTTTTATTTTTGTTATTTTTGTTATTTTTGTTATTTTTTGTAATTTTTTTGCTTTTGTTAATTTTTTCTGTTAATTTTTTTGTTAATGTTTTCATTAATTCTGTAGCTGCCACTGCCACATTTCCAGAACCTGATTTAACCTGTCTCTGAAGGAAGCAAGGTGCAAAAACTGCCATTTCCATCTTGTTTAATAGCTCAGTGAAGTCTAAAAGTGTTGTTTATACGTGGAAATTCTATTTTTTTCACCCTGTTTATGCTTTCACAGGAAAAAACCCAATACTTGATACATGAAATCAGATTTATTTAATAACTTAATTGCTCTTCTGATGCTTATCAGAATAAAATCCATATTTTCACTCATGAGATGGGTCAGGATGCAACCTTCAGGAAGGCTCCTTGTTGGAATAGGAATGTAAATCCAAATTTGCCAATAATTGTGTCCCTGAACTGGTATTTTACCCCACTCAGACTGGGAGGGAGTGACCAGTGCAAGGTCCTGTTGTACTTTGTTCCACTCACATGTGCTCCAAAGCTTGGCTGGGATTCAACCTGTACAAATCTCAGCTTTCATTTGCCTTTTTGGGGTGTTTTTTGAGGGTTTGGTTTAATTTTTATTTATTTTTTTTTATGATTTCTTTTAGAGATTTGGGTTAAATAAAACAATTTTGCATCCTTCTGTAAGCCATGAATTAGAGGTGCTTATACAGGAGAGCAACTTAAATTTGATTTCAGATGGATCAGCAGTAATGGCTTTGAGGTGTCTTTGAACTGACCAGGTTTATCATCAATTAATTAGTGATAATTAATTAATTGTCAGCTAATACAGCTCAGTTTGGGGAGCTCAGTGTGAATTGTGCTGAGAGCAGGAGAGGGAAAGGAGGAGAAGGAAGGATCCATGTGCTGGGTGGAGTTTTCCAGCTGTGGAACTGAGCTCAAAATCAGATTTATCCTTGGCTTTGGGCCAAAGGGACTGGAAAAAAGTGTCTGTGGGAATATCTCTAATTCCAGCTCCTCCCAGCCCCTGTCAGTCCTTCCAGGAGATGTTTGGAGTCTGAGTTTGAGGCATTATCAGCTGAAATTTAATTGAATTATTGGCTGTCCTGATTCTCTCTGGTTGCTGTTTTACAGGGCGGTTACTTTGTCAATAAAACAGTTGGGATTTGATTGACAGGATGCTGATAAAATACCCAACAATTCCATTTTGGAGGTTTCTGTAAAATCAAGAAGCAAATTTGATTTTGTTGACGTCCAGACGAGTGTAACTCGTTCAGAAAGCTCCTGGAAACCCCAGTGAAAATTTTAAATGCTTTAAAAACAGGGATCATATGGGAAAATAAAAATTGGAGGAGAAGGTGAGCTGTGAGAAGCAGAAATTCCAAAAGGAGCAGTTCAGAAACGTTTGATTCATAATCTTTGTGTATTTATCAAAATTAACATTCAGATTCTGAGAGTGTAATCCAGATTGTTGTAAAACCTCCTCAGGAAAATGCTGTTTATGCTTTAATATACTTAATGTACTTTGTGTTTGCCTCTGACTGCAGAGGTGGAGGTGGCTGAATTATGAATTAATTCAGCCTTTGAATTATCAAAGTTTTCCTGGGATGTTTTTGGGCTACAAATCCAGCACTGGAAGCAAGGACGTGGCTCCTCTTATTCCTTGAAGCTTTTGTAGCTCTGAAATGATGAATTCCTAATTTTTTTTTTTTTTTTAACAGGAACAGGAAGGTGGTCGATTACTCCCAGTTTCAGGAATCAGATGATGCTGGTAAATGATTTTTTTTCCTTACTCTCCTTGGGCAGGAGCAGCTCATTATTGCCATGCATATTAATTTTTCTGCTTCTAATCACATCTTCAGCTCCAATTCTAAGGAGTTTCTGTTCTTCACAGCCTGAACTGTTAATAAGTATTTGAAAATATAATGATTCTCATATGTTATGTATTAAACAAACAATGGTGATAGAAATCTTATTATTTAATGCTGGTATTGTTGTAGTGCCTGGAGGCTGTTGGCAGCAATGCCTTCCTTGCTCTGTGTTATTTTCTTGGGCAGAGGCTCCTTGATGCCACTTTTTTCCACAAGAAAAGATGTTTTCCATTTATTTTATGGCTCCAGTTGAGCCCACATTATCAGGCATTTGGAGGGGATTGCAGTTAAAAGAAAAAACATAATCGGTGTGAATTAACAAAATATTGGTGGATCACATTTTGAAAAAAATGTAATCTTTGTGGATTAACAGAACATTTCTAAGAAAATATAATCTGTGTGAATTAACAGAAAATTTCTGGAATGTGTTTTGAGTTAGAAGATTAATTGAATGCTAGGGTTAATTAAAATGAGACAAATATGAATAATTCTTAATTAGAATTCTTTTATTCATTAAATAAGGTGTTGTCTAAGAGTTGTAAGGAGTTCTGTGAACTATTTACTGACATCCTTTATCCCATCACAGGACAGTAAATAGTGTGTGCTGTTAGAATCATGCAGAAATCCATATGGATGTGAATTTTTAATAGGTTTATATAATACCTAAATGTAAAATGAGATCCTGTGTCCTCTTGTGAGGTTTTCTGTGTTTCCCTGGGTGACGTACAGAGCATTTTCATGGGGCTGATGGCAGAAAAAAAAGGTAAAATCAGTGGTTTAAAACAGGACTTGGCTTCCACCAAAGTTTTTTTGAAGCTTTGTGATGTTTTTGTTTTTGGTGTGGGTGAAATGATCAGTTTGAGTTGTAGCTGAGGAGAGAGGTTTGCTGGGAGTGAGTTTGATTCAATCCCATTTTGTCCCGTCCAGATGACGATTATGGAAGAGATTCAGGTCCCCCATCCAAGAAAATCCGTTCGTCTCCCCGAGAGGCTAAAAACAAGAGGAGATCTGGGAAGAATTCTCAGGAGGACAGGTAAAATCAGCTTTTCATCTCTTGGGAACATTTCCCAGAGCCTTGTCCTGTGTGTGGGGAGCAGCATTTTCCAGGAGGAGTGACTGCAGCTGGAATCCCAGCGAGCTTGGGCTGAGACACTGAGTGCTTTCTTCCTGATGGGAATAGACAGAGAAATCAGGTGTGAAACACTTGTCAGTAGTGCTCCATCATTCCAGCAGCTCCAGAGGCAGCTGGAATGGCAGGGAATGTGATCCAGGCAGGAGGATTGGCAACTGCTGCATGCTCAGGTGAGGCAGGGCGAGCTGCAGCTCCTGTCCCCTGTGCTGTCAAGGATGGGGTGGCACCGAGGGCAGGGGGGTTCTGTGGCTCTTTGTTCCTCCTTCTGGGTAATCCATAAACACAGAACTTGGTTTGGGAGCTGAGCTGCTCCAGCAGCCTCAGTGCTGCCCTACTGAAAAGGAAAATTTTCCGTTTTGCAGTCCCCAAATGATTGCTGTGACACCTTGGAAATAATTTATTTTATTTTCACGATAGATTTCGGCTTCAGGGATGGAGGTTCTGCCAGCTGGTTCTTGTTCTATCACCCCAAAATGTCTTTTATTTTCCAAATCAATCAAATTATCAGATCATTTGGGAAAGCTTAGGCCAGGCATGTGCCAGTTAAGAGCAGCATGCACAGAATGCAGTCTAAACAATGACATAAAGACAAGTGCTGTCTAAAAATCTACCTTTATTTCATTTATAGACTGCATATAAACCATCAGAATTGTAACTAAAATGGAAGCTCTGTAGACTGTGGGTTGGTTCACCTCAATCTGATTATTTCCTGCCTGGTTTCAGTTCAGCTGTGATTCAGAGTTTTGAACATTATCTTCCCAACCATGATAACTCCACAGACAGCTGAGTAATCCTGAAAGTACATCCAGGAAAAGTGCAAATTCTCAGCCTAGACATCAGTTTGCTCTTTAAAAACTGTTAATTTCCACACGAGAGTGACTGAAATCAAAGTTGAGACAAGCACTCAGACTTTATCTCTCTCTCATTTGCAGTGAGGATTCAGAAGACAAAGATGTGAAGACTAAGAAAGATGATTCACACTCAGCAGGTAACTGATAGCATTGTACCCACTGTGTATCTTTAAACTTTGTCTCCTCACACCTGTGAGAGTTGCAAGAGTAGAATTAGAGACAGAAAAGAAATAATTCTGATTTATTTTGAGTCAGATGCTGCCTCTGCTGCTGTTACTTCCCACCCTGGTTTGGGATAATGGTTTTTTTCTTGTGTAATGTGATGGTCCTATCAAATTTATCCTCACAAGTGGATAGATCTGGTGATCCCTACAGCTTTTATCCAAAATGAGACGAGAAACTTCATCTTGGTGCCTTTTCCTTGCAGATGAAGATTTTGGCAGTGAGGACGATGACGTAGGCGCTGACGATGGCAAAGCCGACAGCGACTACGAGAGCTCTCAAAAAAGCAAAAAAGGAAAGAAGGCTAAACCAGACAAGAATAAGAGAGCAGCCTCCAAATCCAGGAAAAGGCCTGCAGGTAAAAAAATAAAGAGAGGAAAAAAAAAAAAAAAGTGGTTATTTTGCAGTGAAAAGTACAACAGAGGAGCTTTGTTGGGTGAGTAGGGAAGGAGTTGAATTGTTGTAACTCAGTGAGTGTTTGAACCCCCTCATGTTTTAACCCCTGCCTCGAGGCGGGAGCTCTGTACTCACCACACCTTGGGGCATTTTGCTGCAGAGGACAGCGAGGATGAGAAGGAAGATCACAAAAACGTCCGTCAGCAGCGGCAGGCGGCGTCCAAAGCAGCCTCCAAACAGCGGGAGATGCTCATGGATGATGTGGGGAGTGAGGAGGAAGAGCAAGAGGATGATGAGGCACAGTTCCAGGAGAGTGAGTAAACGGGATTGGAAAAAAGGGACACGGTTTGCTTTTTGGCTGGGACAATCAGAACATAAATTGTGCTCCTCAGTAACTTCATTTTTACTGTGTATCTGTCCAAGTTGGGTTTTCACAGCTAGAATTTGTGTTCCAAGTCTGCAGCAAAGGTTTGTGTGTGTCTGCAGAATTTGTCTTTACAAGTGGATGTATCTGTTGGTCTGATTCCTGCAGTTTTTATCCAGAATGAGACAAGAAACTTCATCTTGGTGCCTTTTCCTTGCAGATGAAGAATTTTTTTTTTCCCAAAATCTGCTTTCCAAAGATGTGTGTGTGTGTGTGTGTTTCCCAAAGATGTGTCTCTGTGTTTCCCAAAGATCTATTTTCTTTGTAAGCAGCCCTAAAAGATAATTACAAAGTTCTCAATGCTTTTTTTTTGCTGCTTCTTGCTGTCCCTGTGGCATTGCTGATTTTAAAAAACCCAGTCAGATTTTGTACCACAGCAGATAAATGGAAGCCCACAAGGTCTCAGAGTCTGTGTCTCAAATTTAACTGGCAGATCTCAGCTTTTCCTTCCTTTTTTCTTTCTTTCCCCCCCCCAAAAATTGGAATTTCCTTACGCTTCCAGCAGATTCAGGAAGCGATGAAGACTTCCTCATGGAAGATGATGATGACAGTGACTATGGCAGTTCAAAAAAGAAAAATAAGAAGGTCTCCAAGAAATCCAAGCCAGAGAGGAAAGAAAAGAAAATGCCCAAGCCCAGGCTAAAGGCTACAGGTGAGTCTGTGCAGTGAAAGTTTCTCAGTTTAAAACCCAGGTTTTCTTTTTGCTGCAGAAGGCTTGGTGAAAATCTTGGGGGTCACAGACATCCACAAAAATGTTGAAGGGCCAAAAACGGCACGATTTAAAGCACAGCAGTATGGAATAATGAGCTGGATTTAATTCTTCCTTTAGGAGTTGAATTGGTATCTGTGTCTTGATGGTAAAGTGTTGAAAACCTTCCCTGCCGAGGTGCTGCATTCTGACTTGGTGTCTCACAACCAAATAATAACAATTTGTGGCTTTGTTTGGGACTTTGTGATGTTGTCAGGGTGGGGAAATGTGAAGCAAAGGCGAACTGGATGCATTTCTGCAGGGAGTTTCAAATGATAACAGCAGTGTGAGTTCTGCTTTGACAAGGGCTGTGTCCATTTATGATGTCACATCCAGCAATTAGCCAGGACTTGTAATTAAACAGCTTTTAAATCTCGTTAGTTTGCTCTTCACCTCAGCTTTGCTAATTGGGAGTGCTAAAAACAGCGTGGGTATGGTCAAACTGCTGCTGAATGACTTCAAATCCCATTTACTGTGATTTTTTTTTTCGTGCTTTTGCTGCTGTTGCTGAGTTTTACAAGGTTTTTCTTTTTCCAGTGACCCCCAGCCCAGTGAAAGGCAAAGGGAAGGCAGGTCGCCCCACAGCTTCCAAGGCAACAAAAGAAAAGACCCCATCCCCCAAAGAAGAGGATGAAGAGCCTGAAAGTCCCCCAGAAAAGAAAAAATCAGCCAGCCCTCCACCAGAAAAGTCAGGGGATGAGGGATCTGAAGATGAAGCACCCTCTGGTGAAGATTAAAAATGGCAGTTGAGGAAAATCTTTGTTTAAAAAAAAAAAAGAGGAAAAAAAGAAAAAGGAAAAGAAAACAATACTTAGGGGTAGAACACGGTTTTGGCTGTGGCTTGACTCATGGGCTTTGAATGCTGTCTTTACTTTCAGCTGTTTAATACAGTGTGTCCTTTTTTAATAAGAGGAAACCCTTCTACAGTAATATTTTGAAGTCAATGTTCTCTGTTGGCCATTCCGTTCTCCCTCCCCTGCCAAATCTGAAAAGCCATTTGAGACAAATTTAACAGACCATTCAATATTTCATTTTTTTTTTCAAGGGATACTGCAGTTGTGAAGCAATAAGGTTTGAGACTGATCTGTGGAAACCATACTTACAAATCCTTAAGTAGAATAGATTTTCCCAGTGCTGGTAAGAGCTGTTTAAAACTATTATCCTGTATTTGGAATATATGGAAAAAAAAAAATAACAAACCTCTGCTTTAATAGACTTTGAGATGAGTTCTCTCACAGCAAAAATGTAGTTGATCTAATTCCAGTGGAGGAGGATGGAACACGGGGAGGAATCCTGTGTTTCTTGGATTCAGGCACATTTTTCATGGAAAGCAATCAAGAGATGCTCCAGTGTCTTTGATTTAGAAAAGACCCTCCAGTCAGGATGGGAGATCTTTTGTCTCTGCTGGATAGAAAACTGTTCTGCTGTAGGCAAATTGCAGCCCATTCCAGATAAATTCACATATTCAACCTACAGCCCTCCCATGTCCATTCACCCTTATTTTTATTCCTTCTGTAGAGGGGCAGAACAGGGAAGAGAAATTGCAAAATCATTTTTAAAACTGCTTTCCTTTGGGTATGGTGGAAACTGTTTTTATTACAGATTTTTCCGAGGCAAAAAAAAAAAAAACAAATCAATGAATAATGGAAAATTAAATTCTTCAGCTTCTGGGGCGAGGGATGTCCTTTTGTGGCTGTGAGGAAAGGATTCCTGTGGTGCTCTGGTCACTTGAGATCCCGTGGGTCAGCCTGGAGTGTTTCTCTTCCCTCCCTCTGCCCTCAGCAGAGCTCCAGGGATCCCTGGCAGAGGGGGCACAGCGGGCATGGAGCAGCTCCGGGGCCTCATCCCTGTCCCCACCCTGGGATCTGTGGGATCAGCTCCCCATCCTTCCTCTGGGATCTGTGGGATCAGCTCCCCGTCCTTCCATTGGGATCTGTGGGATCAGCTCCCCATCCTTCCATTGGGATCTGTGGGATCAGCTCCCCGTCCTTCCATTGGGATCTGTGGGATCAGCTCCCCATCCTTCCTCTGGGATCTGTGGGATCAGCTCCCCATCCTTTCTGTGGGATCAGCTCCTCCCCATCCTTCCTCTGGGATCTCTGGGAGCAGCAGCTCCCCATCCTGCTTGTGGGATCTGTGGGATCAGCTCCCCATCCTTTCTGTGGGATCAGCTCCCCATCCTGCCTGTGGGATCTGTGGGATCAGCTCTCCCCCATCCTGCCTGTGGGATCTGTGGGATCAGCTCCTCCCCATCCTTCCTGTGGGATCAGCTCCCCTCCTGCCTGTGGGATCTGTGGGATCAGTTCCCATCCTGCCTGTGGGATCTGTGGGATCAGCTCCCTCCTGCCTGTGGGATCTGTGGGATCAGTTCCCCTCCTGCCTCTGGGATCTGTGGGATCAGTTCCCATCCTGCCTGTGGGATCTGTGGGATCAGTTCCCATCCTGCCTGTGGGATCAGCTCCCTCCTGCCTGTGGGATCAGTGGGATCAGCTCCCATCCTGCTCTGCCCCCTGAGCTGGGTGTGCAGTGTGGGGCACTGGGGCTGGAGTTGGGATTTCCCTGTCAGAGCAGGACACTCGAGGTGTGTGCTGGCATTTTAATGTGCTTTTATCCAAGCAGCCATATCCTTCCTTCCTTTTTTTACTTCCTAAACTTCATTAAACTCCCCAGACCTTGGTTTTCACACCCTCAGAGTTTTCTGCCACGTTTGTTGGTGGAAACATTAAAAACTGGACCTGCCATTTTTATTTTTGTGGTTTTTTTTCCCTTAAACCCTCTGTGCTTGTGTCTGTTGCTGACATTCTCTTCCAGCTGACCAGCTTTGCATCCTTCTCCTATTTTTGCTTTTTATTTCATTTTTTTTTATCACAGAACTCCCCATTTTGTAACCAGCCAGAAGGTGACATAAGGCAGCTAATGAATAAGTTGGGATTTCTGGTGCAGATCTTGAATCCTGTTTGGGATTTTGGAGAGTTCTCAGATGTTGTGATACACTAAACGTGATCAGGGAGGACCCTGAATCCGTAGGGAGCTGAAGATGCTGAGCACAGCTGGGGAATGGAATATTGTCCTGTGTGATTCCCTAAAGCCTGGATTTTATTGAGGCTGGTAAATCCCTTATAAAAATTGAAGTTCTCTAACGTTCATGACTCTCATGGAACTACTGTTGCCGTTACAATAAAGATGATGTTGTTTCATTGTAAATCCAATTTTATTTTTTAAAGTGGTTTGATTATTTTATTTTTAATTATTATTTTTTTTTTCCAGAACAGCTTCATGCTGCAGGGAAATTTCAGTCTTAAAAAAGAAAATGTAACCCCCTTCTCCTCTCCCACACCTCTTCCCACCTGCTGCATTTCTGGGAGAGCAGAAATTCCCTCAACTTCTTGGGTAATTCTGGGAAAATAAACAGCCACATTTTAAAAATAAAAAACATTTTGGGGGTAGCAAATCTCTGGTTCCCAGAGCTGTTCCCCTGCAGTCCAGACTGTCTCAAGCCACTCTCCACTGGCTTCTTAGGGGTTTTCTTTTTTGGAATTCAAATATACAATGAAAATTCCAGGTGATCTGGTTCTTCACCAGATGTTTTCTGAAGTGTATTTTATGAATCTCACCTAAAATATATTTTTGGTTGGTTTATTTTTCCTAACACAGTTAAGAAAAGGCTGTGAAATATCCTTTTTCTGTTGTTTCAGTTCAGCTTTTGGATTGTTTTGTCCTGGCAAGTTTGGCCCTTTATTTTACAGAACTGTTCTGCTTTCTCACACCTTTATTCCTGATGTGTTGGAGGCTGCCTGATGCTTTCTGAGTGTCTCACAACCCAAATGTTTTAAAAATCCCAGATTTTGAGGATTTTGTAACTTTTTCTAACCCTGTTTTGCTGATGGATGCAAACACTAAGCCCTCTGTTAGAAATACAGCAATTTCACGTTTTTACAGACAGGAAAAAATGGTCAAGGTGAATATTTTTATTATTTTGAATCTTTTTATTTTAACATCATTTTTCAGCAGCAGCAGACTTTTCACCTTTTTAAATGCACATAGGAATTAATTTGTATTAAACATTCTGGAAGGAAAGCTGGGAAAATGCCTTTCTTTAGGAGCACAAAGAGATTTTGGTGGAGCAGAAAGTTTCACCCACAGGGAGGAGGCTTTGAAAAGATTCTGTGTCCCACAGCTCTATTTCTAGAGCCTTTGCAGAGAGGTAAAATGGATTTATTCCAAAATTCACTCAGTCTCCAGCCCTGGTCTTGCTCTTAAAATTCCAGCTTAGAGTTTTCATCCTGTCCTTGAATCCACACTGCCACATCCAGCCCTGGTTTGTGCCAACATCCCGCCTTGAACTTGTCAAAATCAGTCAAAATCTGCAATTTCAGCTGGAGTTTTGTGCTAAAGATGGTTTGGTTCAGTTCCAGGGGGGGTCAGCAGGAGAATGACTGAGTTAAGGGGGTCAGGAGGGGTTTAAAAACAGATCAGCTGAGGAGTTTTTAATCAACTTTAATTTCCTCAAGGCAGAGAGAGCGAGGGGAGAGCTGAAGCAGCACCACCAGGGCAGTGGCACAAATCCGGAATTCCTGGGTTTTTTTCCCTTTTTCCCCCTCTTTTTTATTTAATATTCCCTCCACTGAGGTCACAAAGCTACAAGAGCCAGGTGAGGGAGGGAGGGAAGGAATCTGAACCATGCTGGAAGCTTTTTTGGAGCTGTACAAAACCGGTGCTTTGCTTTTCTGTCCTTTGTTCGTGAGGTGTTTTATTTTTTCTAACAGATCTAGCGTTGAACACACGGTTCCTAAAAGCTACAAAACAGATCCAGGAGTTTAATATTTGATGGAGATTTAATTAATCTGTTGGAGGTGGGGAGGAAAAGGAGCAGTTTTGAAGGGAAATTGTCACGGAGCAGTTGGTGGCATTTAGGATGTGCGAGTTTTGGGGGGGGTTGCTGTCACATCTTTGTGTGTGGAAATGATAAATTCTGTGTGTACCTGACCAAACAGAGCATTTCCCCTCAGCTTTGAGTGTTTCCCTGCAGTTTTAGGAGGCTTAAATCCAAGTGCTGATGGAACAGAAGCAACACTAACACTTTATTCTGGCTGTCCAGGAGGATTTTTGGGGCTTTTTGAGCCCATCAGAGCAGGGAGAGCCGACAGTGCCCTTCAGAGAGCTCCCCAAGCCCAGCCTAGCTGGAAATCAAACCCCAGACTGAGTAGCTGAAGGTGTTTTGATGGAACTCTTGCTGTCAGAGCAGGGATATTCGTGGGGTGCAGCCCAGCCCAGCATGCTCAGTGTGACTGCAAAGCACCCGTGTGCAAGCGCTTTGTACAGTGGGGCCAGGGTTTTTTATATATATATTTTGGGATTGGGGGGAGGGAGGGAGGGAGGGGAGGGTGGAGATCCTGAAATCAGCTTAAGCCAGACTTAAATGTGTGTAAAAGCCCCCGAAATTTCGGTGTGTGAGTGCGGGAGCGTCTGACATCCCATTCCCTTTTGTGTTCTCGGCATTTGTGAGGTTTAATTTTCTTTTTTCTTCTTTTTTTTTTTTTTTCCCCCTCCTTCCCCCTCTTCCCTTCCTGCAGAAGCAATTGTTACAAAAAAAAAAAATGAATTGTAAATAAGAGCTACGTAATTTTTTTTGTTGTTGTTGTCGTTTGCCATCGTGTCACAGCAAACCCTGAGTGAGCAGTGTGAAGGTGGAGGAGGAGACTGGCAGCATTTTCTGGTATGCAATGAATATTTTGTCTCGAGTATCTGCAATCCCCTGGTGAGCTTTTGGAGTTAAAAAAAAATAAAAAATAAATATTAAACAAAAAATTAAAATCAGGCTCTTTGCAGTTCCCCTCCTTGTCCTTTTTAATTTTTATTATTATTATTGTTGGGGTTTTTTTATTATTACTTTTAATTTTAAAAGCAGAAAAAAGGGGCAGCTGCAAACAGTCATCGCTGTGGGGTTGGGAACTCTGGACAACACTGAGATCTAGCATGGTACTAGGAGTTAAATCTGAATGTAACATTAATGTTTTATTTAAAATTAAAAACAAAACTTTTTTTTTTTTTTGGTTGTTTTTTTTAAAGGGGTTGAAGTGAACATGACCGTTGACCATGTTGGTGAATTTTTAGATGCAAACATTCATGGGTAGAATTGTGTGATGGTCTTTTGTGCTAATTAATTTGACATATTCCCAATCTCTGTATGTACCTGCAAAGAAAGAAAAAAAAAAAAAATCAAAAAAAAAATTAATAATAATAAAAATAACAAAAACCCTGCTTTGCTTTGATTGAAAAAGGGTTCCAAGGATTGCATACCTGCTCCTGAGCTCTGTTTTAAATATGTGTATCCTTCGCTTGTATTTTGTATTAAAAAAAAAGAACCACGAGATAAAAAAAAAAAAAATACCTTTATTGTTCAGCATGTTGGAATTGTGTCCCCCCTCTTTTATTTTTCTCCTTTTTTGGAATATATTAAGCAACTCATTCTTCTGTATCTTTTATTTTCTTTTGTAAACTTTTTGGTTTTGTTTAAAAATGGCTTTATAAAAGGGCTTTTATAACCCATGAGCACGACTTGTGTCGTTTTTCTGCTGCTCTAAATGTAAAATTTGTTCATCTTCCAGGATCTCTGAGAGTTTTGGGGT